GTGAATAAAAAATCAAAATGGAATTTATTTGTAAAGCCTCAAAACATAACTAATGAACAGAGGAAATGTTAGTTTAGTGCCAGGAATGCCTACATTGTTCATTCTGGACCCTATTTTGAAATTGGAATATTTTGAACTTTGTGTTAAATTGGCCAAATTAATAATTTCCGATCACTTTATTTTGTAGTTGAAACAGTTGACTTGACGATTTCTTGTGCTCAATCGATAGAATAGAAGTAATACTAGTGAAATAGCTAAGAATTTGGTTGATTGGAATAATGTAATTGGCCTAAAATGGGAGTCAAAGTCGGCAAAATCACCGATTCGTAAATATCGCTGACACATCAAAATTCGCGAGAGCATAATTTCGTCAATTTTCCACCAAATTTCGTACTTTTTGTTTTATTACCTTCACAAAAAGATTCTCTACGATTTCATAAGAAAAAAAAACAAATTTTCTTTTTGAAAATTCTTGGACACTGGTGCGTGACTCCAGATTTGGGCCTTGGACCCTGAAAGGGTTAATAGGCAATAGCTATATCAGGAATTGTATGTTTACAGTCCTTTGGGTGGGTGTAGGTGGAAGTTATGGGGGAATTACATATAACGATAAGTCTACGTTTATTGTTTTGGATGTATTCATGATACAAAAAGAGAGAATTGGGTGGTTTTCTTTGGTTAGCTGATGATGGGGTGTGTTATGGAGATGAGATTTTTTTAATGGTAGTTTTGAAAATGGTGGTTGAGTCTGCAGTTCTAGAGTTTTCAGGGTGTCTAGAAAAAGATGTTTGGTATTTTTGGGGGTCCTAAAAATGTAACCCTAATTTTCCCACGAGTTATTTAGTTTAACACGATTAGATTTTGCCACCAAAGTGGCTAGTTTATTGTGCACCCCACATCCATCCTATGGATGGTAGTGCAAAAGCATATGGATACAAAAAAAGGCCTAGGAACTAGGCCCCAAAAGGGTTAACAGGAGTACAATTGGATTTATATCTACAGTTCACTCATCTGTTACAAGCAAATTTAGGAAATTTGCTTAGTATATCTCGTATTTTATTCTCATTAATAAGATATCTTGACATTTTCCATAGGTTATTATACTGTCTTTCTCTATATTCCTTAATAAGTGGACAATTAAGCACAGTGTTCAAGACAGTGACCATATGCCTGACCACATAATTTGCATTTGGTTTGATAATCATCTGTGTGTCTCCCAAACTGCCAGAAGTACTTGTAACAATGCCTGAGCCTGGCCACTACAACATCAGTCAATCTATTCACATTACAAGTTGCTCCATATACATGGGATTATTTACCAAATGCATTGCATACTAGTGGCTTACTACATGTAAGCTACATTATTTTGTACAGCAGAAAGAAATAAAAATTTGAATTTATATTTGTAATATTACTACAGCGGTACCCCGAGTTTAAAACCACTCCCAACTCAAACAATTATGTAAGTTTATTATTGTAAGTGCTTTTGTATATGTATTTTTGAGGGTCTGAAACGGACTAACCTAATTTACATTATTTCTTATGGGAACAAATTCATCCAGTATCGGAACTTGAACAGCCTTCTGGAATGAAGAAAGTTCGAAACTCGGGGTACCACTGTATCTCCTTTTCTCCCACACTTTTTCTTTCTCTTCCTCCCATCCCTCCCTCCCCTTTCTGAGATCACTACAAAGTTGAAAACTCACATAGCATTACTACAGTACATAACATGTACATAATAATTCTGATTCTTTTAACATATACGTACTGTACTGCATTAGTAAGTGGAGAGGTGTAGGAAATATTCAAGACCAATGGCCTAAAGAAAATTAACCCTTAAACTGTCCAAACGTAGATCTATGTTCATGTGCGTAGCACTCCGAACAAAGATCTATGTTTTATTTTACAGTAGATCGTCGTTTAACAGGGTTTTGTCTTGCATGTTTTGGTTATAGCACAGCTGAAGAATTGCTGCATGTTTTTGTTTAACACTTTGTATAATTAGTTTAACACGGTTGCAGGAGGGGAAAAAATTTTGAGCGCGTGGTCGCCCGCCAGACGGGATGGTCTGTGGGTTACACCAATGAGTCAACAATGATACTTGGGAAGCTTGCTGTGTTTATTTGTATACATATTCTCTTATTCTCATTACCATTTGTCAAATCTGCCAATCAATTTTGGCACCCAGTAAGCATACAGGTGTTCCTGCAAGTGACAAGAAAAGGTTAAAGCATTCAAGTCTAGGAATTACATAGAAAATCAAGATATCAGATAAGCTTAAGAGTGGCTCATGTGTGGTGGGTATAGTGAAGGCCTATGGCCTTAGTGAAGTGTCAGTTTGTATAATTAAAAAGAACGAAGTGAATAACACATTGACTTGACTGAATAACTTACTGACTGAATAACTTACTTGACTGAATAACTTACTGACTTGACTGAATAACTTACTGACTGAATAACTTACTTGACTGAATAACTTACCTGACTGAATAATTTACTGACTTGACTGAATGACTTACTGACTTGACTGAATGACACACTGACTTGACTGAATGACACACTGACTTGACTGAATTATTATTATTATAATCAAAAAGAAGCACTAAACCACAAGGGCTATACAGTGACTTGACTGAATGACACACTGACTTGACTGAATAACTTACCGACTTGATTGAATGACTTTCTCTGTCAGATTTTTATTAATTTAGGCATCTTTATCATGCTTCTATGTTATTTATATTATATCTAATATTATTCTGGAATAAATATTATAGGTAGATAACTTATTGATAGTAATAGTATTATTATATAATATTTTATAGTCCTGTGAGCTCACACCTCCACACGCCATGGTGGTCTATGAGTTACTGAGAGAGACTGCTCGCGCCTTCTCCCTCTCATAGCCCACCTACTCTTCAATACCTCTCTATATGTCAGTTTTTATTAATTTGTGCATCTTTATCATGCTTCTACATTATTTATGTTATATCTAATATTATTCTGGATTAAATATGATAGGTAGATATTATTTATTGATAGTAATAGTATAATTATACAATAACAAATTTAGAAGCAGTGCTTTGAAATGGGGTCTAGGCCAGCTGGTGATGCCTTACCGTCAGCTGTATAATGTACTGCAGGGTAAAAGACCCCAGAGATCCATTACAGAATTTATGCACACTCCAATACAACCATCGACTTCAATACCAGAACCTCTACCATTCACTTCTGCTGACAACCAACAACCATCCACCTCAGCCCAGTAGGGCCACACCATCCATATCCACACTCTTCACAGCCACCCACAAACACCATTACCCACAATTTGAGGTAAGAAATACTATTACGTATTTCTATTGCATTTGTAGTCTTAAGCAGTAATATATGACAACAATGCACTACAATTACATATTCACTTTTATTTTGTAAGATCTGGAGGTCTAAAAAAAGTTGCTTGGCTTTTTGGGGGCTCCTAGGAACGTAACCCTATTTTTCCTACTGTCTTGTCTAACATGGCGTTTTCAGGAACATAACTACAGTGTTAAATGACGGTCTACTATACATGCTTTCAACCTTGGCATGATAGGCCTGAGTTGCCTAGACACGAGAGAATGGGTCTGTACATTCAGTGTGCGCAGTATGACAAAATTCGGGGATGTTGGGAAAAATGAGCTCTTCATTTGAAACAAATTTTTTTTTTTTTCCAAAAATATTCAGAGTGCTACGCAAGTGAACATAGGTCTACGTTTGAACAGTTTAAGGATTAAGAGTTTCAAATGAGCCCCAGTTCATAAGGAGCCATAATTTTCAAACCATTTAGTAAATATGACCTATAATTTCTTACGTAATAAGTTTGGCTTCTGTAAAAATATAAAAATCTGAGAGATGGTCAAACTTTTAAACTACTGTATTAATATACAGTGGACCCTCGACCAACGATGCCATCGATTAACGATAAATCCGACTAGCGATACATTTTAACGCAAAATTTTTGCCTCGACTAGTGCTAAAAAACTCGACCAACACTATTCGTTCCATCTGAGACGCGTCCACTTCTGGCCAGTGTTTACAAACCAGCCAGCCACCGCGGTCGCTTCCAAGCATACAATCGGAACATTTCATATTATCACAGCCTTTTTAGTGATTGCACCTGCAAAATAAGTCACCATGGGCCCCAAGAAAGCTTCTAGTGCCAACCCTACAGCAAAAAGGGTGAGAATTACTATGGATATGAAGAAAGAGATCATTGCTAAGTATGAAAGTGGAGTGCGTGTCTCCGAGCTGGCCAGGTTGTACACAAAACCCCAATCAACCATCGCTACTATTGTGGCCAAGAAAACGGCAATCAAGGAAGCTGTTCTTGCCAAAGGTGCAACTATGTTTTCGAAACTGAGATCGCAAGTACTCGAAGATGTTGAGAGACTGTTATTGGTGTGGATAAATGAAAAACAGATAGCAGGAGATAGCATCTCTCAAGCGATCATATGTGAAAAGGCTAGGAAGTTGCATGACGATTTAATTAAAAAAATGCCAGCAACTAGTGGTGATGTGAGTGAATTTAAGGCCAGCAAAGGTTGGTTTGAGAGATTTAAAGGGAAGGGAAGTAACCCCAGAAAAGGACTTGCCACCTCAAGTCCTAATGGAAGGGGATTCCCCTTCTAAACACTAAGACCATCAACACTCTCCCCTCCTCCCATCCCATCAATCAGCACCAGATCTTCAATAAAGCTAAGTGTCATGTAACTGTGCATGTCTTCTTCAGTTTGTGTGTATTAAAATTAATATTTCATATGGTAAAAACAATTTTTTTTTCATACTTTGGGGTGTCATACACGGATTAATTTGATTTCCATTATTTCTTATGGGGAAAATTAACTTGACTAACGATAATTTTGACTAACGATGAGCTCTCAGGAATGGATTAATAGCGTTAGTTGAGGGTCCACTGTATTTGGAAAGTTTCCCATCTATTTGTTCGCAGACTGAAATTAACATACTTAGCTTGTGATGTTAAAACCACATTAATACGGCCAGGAAGAGGTCGAAACTTCTTTGGTATGGACTCCCACGTCTTCCGTCCCATCACGACCACATTCTGCTTCTCAGGTGCATTCGTCTTTTTTGTCATGCGGGTGAAGTATTTCATCTCTTCTCTAAGGGATCAAATGTATAATTGTAAGGGATCATATATATAATTGTAAGGGATCAAATGTATAATTGTAGTAAAGTACGTACAGTAAGTACAAAACTTACTCAGCTCTATATGAAGTAGGTCAGTTTTACATGAAGCAATTTAGCACAATATGGAGTATCACAGCTGTCAATGAAGCATTTTTACTTTCCCTTCCTTGTTGCCAGTAAGGGGCTGTTGATCAAAGGAAGTGGATCTATTATCCCTTTCTTTGGATCAAAATTGACCGCTTCCTATGCCCCCAAGTACAACATGACCCCTGTAGTCATAATAAGTGATATTTAGCATTTCTGTAGGCAGTACTATAGTGGTCTCCCCATATATGCAGGGGATACATTCCAAGACTTACCATGGATAGTAGCAAACCTTATACAGTGGACCCCCACTTTACGATCAGCTCCCAATGCGACCAATTATGTAAGTGTATTTGTGTAAGTGCGTTTGTACGTGTATGTTTGGGGGTCTGAAATGGACTAATCTAATTCACAATATTCCTTATGGGAACAAATTCGTTTAGTAATGGCACCTGAACATACTTCTGGAATGAAATAATATCGTAAGCTGGGGGTCCACTGTACATGTTTTTCGTTTACATACATACCTGTGATAAAGTTTGATAGATTATGCACAATAAGTTGAGAATTAGCACTTTTTCACTGATGGGAAGAAACTTCAGGGCTTCTGTTAGGCTTTCAAGAACAGACATCACTACTTTTGTGCTTTGGTGCCATTATTAGGCAAAACTAAGGGTTATTTTTAGGCCATGGTAAACAGTGGATAACTGAAACCATAGAAACTGAATCCATGGATATGGGGGTTCTACTGTATGTAGAACATAAGAAGGGAGTCTTCTGAACACTATCTAGAATCCTCCTGGATGTATGGCAATTTAAGTTGACAATGAGCACATTCAGCTCTTATTAGTACAAAAGTTTACATATAATTTCAGTGTCTGCATATGTATTATCCACTTAGGGAGGTGATGTGAAATTCCTAGATATAAAACAATCAAAGAAAAAGCAAAGAAATTAAACTGTACCATGCAATGCAATAGGAAAGCTAAACATGTATAAAACATGTATGATTGGACACCATGTTAAAAAAAAAAAAAAAAAAGGCACCAATATTCAATGTAAATACTGTACCATAAGGTATACATGTACTGTATTTTTGCTCTATTATGTTTAACCCTTTCAGGGTTTCTGATGTACTAGTACGGCTTACACACCAGGGTTATTGACGTACTAGAACGCCTAAATTCTAGCGCCTTCAAATCTAGTGAGAGAAAGCTGGTAGGCCTACATATGAAAGAATGAGTCTATGTGGTCTGTGTGCATGGCATAAAAAAAATCCTGCAGCACACAGTGCATAATGAGAAAAAAAAAACTCTGACAGTGTTTTTGGTTTAACCCTTTCAGGGTCAGCAGGGCCTCTCCTAAATTTGTTCTCAGGGTCGGAAAATTTCGAAAAAAAAATTATTTTTTCTTATGAAATGATAGAGAATCTTTTCCCAATCATAATGACACCAAAAGTATGAAATTTGATGGAACCTTACGAAGTTACGCTCTCGCGAAGTTAGCAATCTCGATGATGTTTACACATCGGCGATTTCGCCCACTTTGAGCCCTATTTTTGGCCAATTCCAATGTACCAGTCGACAAAAATCATACCTATTTTGCTAGAACTCCATTTTTCTATCGAATGAGTACAAGAAACCACCCATTTACCGATTTCCACTATCCAATAACGTGGTCAGAAATTGGCAATTTTGCCAATTTCATACAAATTTCAAAAGATGCCAGTTTCCAAATGGGGTCCAGAATAAACAAGACAGACATTTCTGGCACTAAAATAACATTTCTTCTGTTCATTACTCATGTCCCCAGGCCTCTCTTACATTTCTTTTGCTTTCCACTTTGAATTTTTATTCTCACAAATAATAGAAGATTTATGTTATGCAGACTACTGCATTCGTGTAGAAATGGCATAGAAATAGTATAAATAATATCACGGTACTTGTAAATAAATATTACACTCACCAATTGACATGTATTGGACGCGTGGCATGATTTGTTTACCTTTGAACTTTGGCATAAATCGAACATTTCTGCTACTTTGAGCTCAATTTCATGGTACTTTTCATTGTGAAACCAATCAAAATCATCTCAATTTCCATAATATGTCTTCCATTCTATAAAATGAGACCAGGAAAACTAGAGAACAACTATAAATAGCATACGAAAATACAGTGGACCCTCGACCAACGATATTAATCCGTTCCCAAGAGCTCATCGTTAGTCAAAATTATCGTTAGTCGAGTTAATTTTCCCCATAAGAAATAATGAAAATCAAATTAATCCGTTCCCGACACCCCAAAGTATAGAAAAAAAATAATTTTGCCACATGAAATATTAATTTTAATACACACAAACTGAAGAAGACATGTACAATTACATGACACTTACCTTTATTGAGGTTCTGGTGATGATTGATGGGATGATGATAGTGTTTAGAAGGGGAATCCTCTTCCATTAGGACTTGAGGTGTCAAGTCCTTCTCCGGGGTTACTTACCTTCTTTTAATGCCACTAGGACCAGCTTGAGAGTCACTGGAGCTCTGTCGCACAACATATCTGTCCATAGAGGCCTGTACCTCCCGTTCCTTTATGACATTCCTAAAGTGTTTCACAACATTGTCAGTGTACAGTTTGCCAACACGGCTTGCAGTAGCTGTGTCAGGGTGATTTTCATCAAAAAAGGTTTGCACTTTAAGCCACATTGCACACATTTCCTTAATCTTTGAAGTAGGCAACTTCCTCAATTTCTCTATCCCCTCCTCCGGAGCAGTTTCCTCAGGTCTGGCCTCTTGCTGTTGAAGATGATCTTGCAGCTCTTCAGTGGTTAGTTCATCATTGTCCTCCTCCACCAACTCTTCCACATCCTCCCCACTAACCTCCAACCCCAAGGACTTCCCCAATGCCACAATTGATTCCACAACTGGCATAGGCTTCTCAGGGTTAGCCTCAAATCCTTCAAAATCCCTTTTGTCTACACATTCTGGCCACAGTTTCTTCCAAACAGAGTTCAAGGTCTTCTTAGTCACTCCCTCCCAAGCCTTAAATATAAAGTTTATACAATTGAGGATGCTAAAGTGATCTCTCCAAAACTCTCTTAGAGTCAATTGAGTTTCTGTGGTCACTACAAAGCACCTGTCAAACATAGCTTTTGTGTACAGGTTCTTGAAGTTTGCAATAACCTGCTGGTCCATGGGCTGCAGGAGAGGAGTGGTATTAGGAGGCAAAAACTTGACCTTAATAAAGCTCATGTCCCCAGAAAGTCGCTCTGCCACATCTGAAGGATGACCAGGAGCACTGTCTAATACCAGGAGGCACTTAAGGTCCAATTTATTTTCCAGGAGGTAATTTTTCACAGTGGGGGCAAATGCATGGTGTAACCAGTCATAGAAAAAGTCCCTAGTGACCCATGCCTTACTGTTTGCCCTCCACAGCACACACAAATTAGCCTTGAGGAATAAATAACAAAAAGGCACAATACCGTGACTGGAATGATACACAAATAACCCGCACATAAAAGAGAGAAGCTTACGACGACGTTTCGGTCCAACTTGGACCATTGACAAAGTGACTTAAATTGCCAGGCATACCATCTAAAGGGGACAAAAAGATACAAAACATCCAGGCCATGGGAAAACCTGGGTAGCCACAGCCACTCAAGAGGGAGAGGTTTTTTAGTGCCAGGAAGGAAAAAAAACTGGCAGGAAATGGCAGAAATCGTACACCAAATCCAGTCATTCCTGGAGTGGAACCACAGTCGATGGCCTCCACTCCAAACCAACAGATACAGATACTAATGCCGGAAAAAAAATCCCCCCCCCCAGTACCAACAATACCACCAGTCCGATAACATTCTTCTTTGCAAATATACAGGGTCTAAAGCCAGCAATAAACAACAAAATACCTTTCATCCGTGGACTGCTTGCAGAGGCAAAGGCAATGTTCGCGGCTTTCACTGAGACCCACATAAAGGATCACTTGGACAACGAAATATGGATCCCAGGTTACAACCTACACAGATGTGACAGAGTGAACAGGCAAAAAGGGGGGGGCGGGTTGGCCTGTACATTGCAGAGTCACTTGTTTGCACAGAACTGCTTAATGCCTCAAATGAAGTAGTGGAAGTTTTAGCAGTAAAGGTCGAGAACCAAAACCTAGTCATTGTGGTAGTCTACAAGCCTCCGGATGCAACATCCAGGAACAGCAGTTAAAAATTGACCACTGTCTGGAAAATCTTTCAGCTCCTGCACCCAACATCTTGCTCCTGGGGGATTTCAACTTAAGGCACCTAAAATGGAGGAATATAGCAAATAATATTGTTGCAGTAATAACACCAGGAGGCAGCTCTGATGAAAACTCACACTCACACGTGCTTTTAAATCTCAGCACAAAATTCAATTTAAACCAGCAAATAATAGAGCCTACTAGACTGGAGAATACACTAGACCTCATCTTCACTAACAATGATGATCTGATAAGAAATGTCACCATATCAAAAACAAACAATAATTCAGGTGCTATTTTTTAGCTTAAGACTATTTACTTTGTTTTATACTTAACCCTTTGAGGGTCGACAGGCCCTCTCCGAAACTCGTTCTCAGGGTCGGCCAAATTTAAAAAAAAAAAAAAATTATTTTCTCTTATGAAAAGATAGAGAATCTTTTCCCGATCATAACGACACCAAAAGTTTGAAATTTGATAGAAAACTTACGGAATTATGCTCTCGCAAAGTTAGCGGTCTCGGCGATGTTTACGGATCGGCGATTTTGCCCACTTTGAGCCCCATTTTCGGCCAATTTCACTGTACTAGTCGACAAAAAACATAAATATTTCGCTAGAACTCCATTTTTTTCTATCAAATGGGTGAAAAACCACCCTTTTTAAATAAT